TGATGGCATGGCACTCTACCAAGATAAAGTGAGACCTGTCTCTTAAAAAAAAGTAAAATGTACAGATTTGTGGTCTGGTGCTGGGGTCACGCCTATAATCCTAAATAGCTGAGGCAAGTGGGTTGCTTGAGCTCATGAATTTTGAGAACCAGCCTGAGGAAGAGTGAGACCTCGCCTCTACTAAATGTAGAAAAACTAGCCAGGCATTGTGGTGGGTGCTGAAAATAGTCCCAGCTACTTGGGAGGTGGAGGCAGGAGGATCACTTGAGCCCAAGAAACTGAGGTTGTTGTGAGCTATGATGCCATAGTACTCTAAGTAGATAGTGAGACTGTCTCAAAAAAAAAAAAAAAAAAAAAAATGGGCCCAGTGTGGTGGCTCATGCCTGTAATCCTAGCACTCTGAGAGGGCAAGGTGGGTGGATTGCCTGAGCTCACAGGCTTGAGCCCAGCCTGAGCCAGAGTGAGACCCTGTCTTTAAAAGTAGCCAGGTGTTGTCACAGGCATCTGTAGTCCCAGCTACATGGGAGGCTAAGGCAAGAGAATCACTTGAGCCCAAAAGTTTAAGGTTGCTGTGAGCTATGACGCCACAGCATTCTACTGAGGGTGACTAAGTAAGACTGTCTCAAAACAAAACAAAACAAAAAATGCTTGGCACCCGTATTCAGTGGTTAGGGTGCTGGCCACATACACCAGGGTTGGTGGGTTTGAACCTAGCTCGGGCCTGCTAAATAACAATGACAACTATAAACAAAAAAATAGCCAGGCATTGTGATAGGCGCCTGTAGTCCCAGCTACTTGGGAGGCTAAGGCAAGACAATTGCTTAAACCTAACAGTTTGAGGTTGCTGTGAGCTATGATGCTATAGCACTTTACTGAGGGGAATATAGTGAGACTGTCTCAAAAAAAAAGGAGTGGTGCCTGTGGTTCAAAGGAATAGGGCACCAGCCCCATATGCTGGAGGTGGCAGGTTCAAACCCAGCCCTGGCCAAAAACTGCCAAAAAAAAAAAAAAAAA